TAATCAAATCATAAATGCGTTAGATTGGATTGATAAGTCGGATCAATATAATTAAATTTATATTTTTTATAAAAAAATCACAAATTTCATAATATATATAAATCTTGTAATATTTTATTATAAATATAATGTTATTAACCGTAAAAATAATAATATTAACTAAATTTTAAAATATATTTATTGATTTGAAACATTGTTATAATTCTATCAATCTAAAAATGCAAAATTTGTAATTGAATAATTAAGAAGTTGGACACAAGTGGTTAATATTTGAACATAAGGTTAAATCATTTTGACAATGCCTGAATTTGAACTTTAGGGAAAATAATCATTAACCAGATTTTATTTATCTTCCAGTCGAGTCAAATTAGTTTACGGCGAAACCTTAAAACACATACAAAAATAAAAGAAAACTCGTTATTGAATAAGAGTGACAAAAATTATTGTTATAAATAAGTGATTATAATAATAATAATTTATTATTATTATTATTATTATTATTATTATTATTATTATTATTATTATTATTTAATCGGATTGGGTCACGAGTAAAAAAAGTCAAAATCTGTTTCTTGACTTGTATAGTACTAAATTTTGATTAGATTGGGTTGAGCCTAGGCATGAGAATCTAACCCGCTCCCGTGAGTACCCGCCCGAACCCCCCGCAATTTGGATGGGGAAAACTCGTGTTTATCGGGTTCGGGTTCAGGTTCGGGTTTTCCCCAATTGATAAAATCGGGGGCAGGGATGTTAATACCCACAGAAATATTTATATGTAAAAATTTATATTATTTTACTTTTCTTTTATTTTTTTAAAATTGTTCATATTCATTTAAAAGAAAAAAAGAAGAAAAAAAATAGAAACGGGGCCGGGGAAACCCGAACCCCGCCGGGGGCGGGGATGAGGACCCAAATTTTATCCCCGACGGGTATCGGGGGCGGGGGCTTGGCGGTTTAAATTTGCGGGGGCGGGGATAGGGAACGTAAAACCCGCCCTCGCCCCGCCCCGTTGCAATACCTAGTTGAGCCTGACCCAGATACTAAAAGAATCCAATTTGAACTCATTAAATCAATTTAGGTTAATTCAAATTCATGAATTATTCGTACCCACTTACACCCCTACTCTTAATATTAGTTTTTACAATTTTTTTTATAGTTATAACTTATATAAATATATGAGAATGTTATACATTTTTTTAATTATTAAATCATAATAATATTAGTGTAAAATATAATTGATTTTAAATAGAATTCTCTTAGTAAAATTAGTTTTAAGGGATATTTTAAGGATATTAATCATTAAACATTTTATATAATTTATTAAAAAAGTTATATATGTATCGAAAGGGATAAATATTTTTTTATTAAATAGTTTGAAATTTATTTATTTAGTCAATATTTAGTTTTGTGTTTATGGTTTTTAACGAAGATAAGTCACTATTTATTTTTATAGTATATATTTTGTATCATGTATAAGGTTTTTGACAAAATTTAGTTACTATTTTTTATGATAAATATTCAAATTAATATTATAAATAAATAAAACCCAATATTTAATATATATTTTCTTATATTATCGGTATTTTCATTTCAATAGATTTTTTTCAAATATAATTTACACAATATTCCAAAATTGTTAACTAATTAAAAATTGACACGTGGTCCAAAATAACTTGTTAAAAAGATTGTAATTTAATATGTTGTCCACAAATAATTATTACCTTATTGATATTTTCATGTATTATACTAAATTATTAATATTCATACGAGTTCGTTTGGAAATGAAAAAATATATTTTAAATATTAAATTGTGTTAAAAAAGTTTTTTTTTTAATTTTTGTAATACTGCATTTTTTTATTGTTTCTAACAATAATTTTATGTGTGATGCTTGAGATGTGAGTGAGTGATTGAAAGTTAAGGAATTCTCATGAGTTTGATTAGTTTTGAAAGTTTTTTTGGTCAGAGATCTAGTTTGACCCATGGAGAGGGGAGTATGTAAGGTTTTTTTTTGGAGAATTTAACCTTAAAACCTCGTTCTCAAAGAAACTAGAGAGAAGAACTCCGAGGCTAATCTTCGTTCTTCTTTCTAGGTTTCTCGATGAAGTAAGAGATCTTTGAATATTTGTGTTTTATGATTCAAAGTTTCTTGGAGTTGAGAAACAACTGAGGTGGTGGGGAGTTTCCCGATACTCAGAGTTCTTCCTTTTTCCTCTTCTCCTTTTACGTCTGGCTTAGAGTCAATGTAAGAGAAACTAGGATTGAATCTTGATTGATTGTTGAAGTTGCATGTTGCTTGGTTTCACTTAACAACTTGTTGTGTTGGTTGATTTGGACTGAAATGAGTAGTTATTTGAATTTTCGCTTGTTAAGCATGTTGGAGATGGACTTGGATGATTTTGATGGATTATGATTGCATCTTGGATTTCTGGTGTGAAATGAATTATGGGTGATGCACATGTATACTATGTTACATTGCATGTTGGTATATTTTGACTTTCAAGTGGATTTGAGCCATATTCAAATCTACAAGTGTAGAAATCATAGTTGCCCCGAGCGTGCCTTTGTGGTACCCAGTGTGGTCTAATTAGGGGCACTTTGTCTTGCTCACACAGGCGCATGATTGGTGGTGTCGGACGTGAGAAGAGAAAATTGTCTTGGGTTGAATTGGTGTTAGATTGGTTTGAATGTCACTAAATGTGAAATTGTTGCATTGGTATGCTATAAATTTATGAATGTTGTTGGATCTACATTCATTAGCCTAGGTTAATAAATATAGATGAATATTGTTGAGGTGAATGCTAAGAGTACTTTAGACATTTAGGCATAGTGTGTTAACCTGTTGAGGTGTTGATGCTAAGAATGTTATAGACATTAAGACATGTTGATTAACTTAGGAGTAGAGGAGAAATTTTTTTGAAAGTTAAATATCTCATTGTGTGATATTAGTGTGGCACTCTAGGAGGCTAGTTGTTTTGTGTGTTACTTTCATGTAGCTATTGTATAGGTATTGTTTGATCGATAACAACTCATGTTATCAAATTTCAGTAATCCAACCATTGAATTACAAGTTCTTAATGCACAAATCAAATTTATAAAATTTTTAAAAATTTAAAAATTATTTGATACTTCGTTTCATTAATTCAAATTGACGAACAATCATAAAAATATTTTATTCAAAATTTTATACATCAAGTCAGACAGTTTTTTGCTAACTCACGTTTGACATTAGCAGTAGTGATGTAGAGAGTGTCTAGCCTGCATCACACCAACACCTTAAAGTTGTGCTTGATGCAATAATGATTTATGCATTTAGAAGAATCACGAATTTGACTCTCCACACTTACCACTCAAGAAAACCCAACATGTAATGCAAAACAACACATATATACACTTCAAATAACTCCAGTTCATCATCAGAATCAATACACAACAGAGGGAAACTCGTACTTCACGTAATTCTTTCTCATCTTTTCCAAAACCCACAAACAACCCACAACCAAGGTTCTCCCAAATCAATGACATCTCAACCATAACTTAACCACAAATTCAATGACCAACAAGCAATACACAACTTTATCATTCATCAAGAAGTCAAGTTTTAGCTTCCTTTTACCTTTAAAACCCATAAGAATGAAGTCAAGAAGAAGGAAACATAGTCTTCCTAGCCAACTCTGTCTAACAACCATGACTCTCTGATTCTCGACTCTAAAGCTCTGAATCACACCAATAGACACAAAAATCTACTCTCAAGGAAGAAATAAAAGGAATTCGTGAAGTAAAAAAAATGGCTTTCTACAACTTTAAAGTTTTTTTCCTTTTAACTTCTCTCTAAGGTTTTTGAAGAAATAAACTTACGAGGTCTAATTCTTAAGAAATATTTTATATACCCTTATCTCACATGTCAACCTTGACCCGTATTTAGAATAACTCCTAAACAACTTAAAATTCCTAAAATTTCTCAACAATTAAACAACTAATTACAACAACAATAAAAATTAATAAATTCAACAATTAATTTGCAAAAATCATAATGGTACACCCTCAACTCTTATTATTGTGCAATCGAGGGTTGACAGTTGGCACAAATAATATAGGACCTAATCTCAGCTTACATTTTTCATGATGCGAGTCTGACACTTCTTACGGTTATTAAAATCCTACTTTGATAGACATAAGCTTAAGACACATTGAAAATTACCAAACTTTGACTAATCACTATATGGATGATGTTGCTTAATTAAGGGGTTTTCAGTATGTCATTAATTTTTTTGTCTGATATTCTTGTAGAAGTCATCCCAATTTATTATTTTACGACAAAAAAAAAGCTTTTATTATTGTAAAAAAAAATTGCTTAAACACCTCTTCTTTATTTTTGTTCTTTTTATCGGTTTATATTTTTGTTTACATTAAAATACTTTTATCATTTAAATATTAATATTTTTGTATCACTAACTTGTGTATATTATTTATTGATTTACGTGACAGATAATTTACTTTGCCTATAGTAGTTAAGCAATCATATTCCCGACATATATTTATATTAACTTATAATTATATTTAGAGACTTATAACTAACATCTTTGAATATAATTTATCAAAAACTTTATATCTAATCTTTTTATTAATTGAGCAAGTTCTGCCTATGCATATTTTACCTTAAAATTATATATAAAAAAATAATCATTTTGTTTTTAACACAAGTTTTTCCTATGCATATTTTTTAAACAACACTAAATTAAATATTTTTGAAGCCGATACTTTCTTTAAAATCTGTATTAATATTTACTAGGAAGAAAAATCTTTATGAAGAAAGAGATTAACTAAAACATGTATGGTTACTCTTAAAAAAAGAAAAAAGAAATAGTTTGAAAGAAATTATTGAGCAAGTATGATTTGTGGATATTGGTGAGAAAGAAAAAAAAGAAGCAGCGTGTTGTGATTGGTGTTGGCGTCTCTCTCTCTCTCTCTCCAATCTGTATAAATATGAGTAATGCCTCTCTTCTCTTTAAGACTTTAACTGCCATCCATCCATCGTTCAGTTCCAGGGGCACCACCAAAGGCCAAAATACAAAGCACACGAATATCCTCTTTGATCCTCTTTCTCTGTTTTTTCATTTCATTATTCTAATTTATACACACCTCCCTTACCCCACTCTTCTCTCTCTCTCTCTCTCTCTCTCATCTTAAGTTGAAACTTTGATATGCAAGTGGCGGCAGAACTCCAGCGCACCCAATACCACCAAGACACCCAGATGTGCCGCAAAATCCAACTCACCATCTCCGATCACGCCGCAGACGACGGCGAGGACCCCTTCATTCCGCCCCTCAACTTCGCCATGGTTGATAATGGCATTTTCCGCTCCGGCTTCCCCGAGCCTGCCAACTTCTCCTTCCTCAAAACCCTCCGCCTCCGCTCCATCATGTGCGTCTTTCATACCCAATTGCTCAATTCTCAGTAAAGTCTTTTCCTTGCATGCTGATTCTTTCATTCGTTCGCTCTTTTCTAGATACTTGTGTCCCGAGCCCTATCCGGAAGCCAACATGGAGTTCCTCAAGGCAAATGGGATCAAGCTTTTTCACTTTGGGATTGAGGGTCATAAGGTCTCCTTCTATTTCTCTCTTGATTTCTCTCTGATTGTTTTTTCTTCGATGAATAGACTCACTGCACAGGGATCAATGGATATCTAATCCAATTCACCTGTCTTTCTCTTTCTCTTTCTCATTCTGATTGTAGAATTCAGAGACAGGTTGTAGAAAAATGAAAGCAAAACATGAGAAAATATCTCTCATCTTTTTTCTGTTTTTTATTTTTATTTTTAAACACTTGTTTTGGAAACAATTTTTTCAAAAACTTTGATTACTAAAGAGTGTTAAGTTGTTTTAAAAACAGTTCTTAAAATCAAAAAGAGAAGAAGAAAAAATAATCAAGCAAGGCCAATATATGTTTTTTTTTTTTTTTTTCACTCAAGAGGTAGGTGTGGATAATTAGTGACCTGATAAATTGGGGCCATTATGTGAATGCTTTGATGTCAAGTACTGTTTAATCAAACGAGTTGCTATGACAGGGCTTGGGAGGAAAAAAAGGGGGACGTAAAAGCTGGTTGTTGTCATTATTTTTTCTTCAACTTGTTTACTTCCTATTCTTCCTCCTGTTCTTGCTTGATTCTTCTGGTGTAACTTTTTTGACATGTCCCAACTTTATAAAGTGCTTTGGAAAAAAATCTTTGAGTTTGGAAACTTTTGCTCGCTATCACAGCTTTTTAGGTACCATTATTATACTGTCAACTCATTTTTGGTCTCGTTATTGTTCCGGATTAGATCTAGTGTTTTATTTCTTGGGCATATTTCTGTGCGGGAGAGTCCCCTTCAATCCTCACCCGTGTTTGCACAGTTAAAGTGTGCCATGCCAAGTTTAGAATAGGGAAATCACGCTTGGGAATCCAAGCTGGCATGTCAAGTCTTTTCTTTGGTTATCTAAAATGATCACAATCATTTGTGTTTCGAGAATAATTAACAGTTGGAGATCATATATTATACTTGCTGTCTCTATAATGGGACCATTATGGATATGTCAAAAACCGATTCTGTTCAAAAAAGGCTCGAATTTGCTATTTGTTATAACAACGCAAGTTCAAGGTAAAGAAGAGGGTGAAAGGAATTGATAATTGTACAGAAGTAGCACCAGAGTCATGATCACCCTTGGAAAGAAAAGATGGTAATATCATGGAAGGAACATCGTAAAAGTATATAGAATATTTCATTAGTACATCTGAAGTCTGGAGATGGAATTTATGTGATATTGGTGGACTAGGGCATATAGTATGTTGAATTAATGTAGAGAATACTTCGCCCTTCATAATATTGTTAAATTCCCGACTCTCTACTCCACGAATTTTGTTTGAATATTTAATAATTATCGACCAATCTATGTCATGGAAAACAAGGGCAAGCAGTACTTTTTATGAAAGCCATCCCTGATTATGATCTAACTTGCTTCTCTTTCCTTAATTCTGGAATTGTTTTCATGCCTTTTTTCCCATCTTTTTTCGTTTGGAAGGCCCTTCTCATGCCTTTTAATTTTCACACTTCTATTCAACATCTGGCTCCATCAGTGGAAAAGGTGTTGGTCTGATGAATGGGAATGGAGTGATTGTTTATTTCTACTTGTGTAAGATTAAGATCTGGATATCTAGATTAATAAATAATAATTGCTTCTTTTGGATCTCATAAATCGTTCACTCGGTTAATATTAATTGTTAATAAACTTGCCAAACATAATATTCAAATTGTATTAGCTACACACTCTCCCGTCTTTTTAACCAATAAGATTAGTTGATATAATGTGATAATGGAAGTTGTGCATATTCTTTAATCTTATGAAACTTGTGCATCCAGGAGCCTTTTGTGAACATCCCAGAGGACACAATCCGTGAAGCACTAAAAGTTGTCCTTGGTATGATGTAGCTCTTTGCTTTTAATCGTAACTTAGGTTTCCACAACTCATTTTGCTATCAATAACTTTGGTGATCAATAATGCAGATGTCAGGAACCACCCAGTTATAATTCACTGTAAGCGGGGAAAGGTGAGATTTTTGCTTTATTTAGTTATGTAATATCTACTCATAAGAGATATTCTTGTTAAAAGTATGTAATTTCATCCCTTTTGTGTGTGCAGCACCGAACGGGTTGTTTAGTAGGATGCTATAGAAAATTGCAAAAATGGTGTTTGTCATCTGTCTTTGATGAGTATCAGCGCTTTGCAGCTGCGAAAGCAAGAGTCTCAGATCAGAGGTTTGTAGAGTTGTTTGATATTTCGAGCCTAAAACATTTGCCAATACCATTTTCATGTTTGAAGAGGTAACAGACCAAGTTATGCTGAATGGGTTTACTTTCTTTAGTTTGTGAAAGCAAACCCCAGGTTGTTCCTTTGAATAAATAGGAAAAGGTGACGAACTCCTTCAATGCATTGCATTTGCAGCGGCAAAGGAATACTTGCTCTTCCCCCATTTTTAAAATAAGAAAATTATAGGAATAATAGAGCATTGTATGTGTTATAATAATGCCCTATTTTCCTTCTATCCCTACTTAGCCCTTACCCTTAGTGTACCTCACCTTTTGTCTTATGTTTTCTTTGCTGCTCCCCATTCATCAACAACGAGTGTAGATATAGCTTGATTTTTTCTCGAGGCTCAGAGAAATTCAAGAAGGCTATAAAAAGCCTTGTTTGTCTGCCCAAATTCTTGGTGGGTAGTAATGCAGAGAAACTTATAAATTCTATTTGCTACATTCATATTGCTTGCTTTATTTCCTTATTTTTTGAGTCCAGTTCAGTCTGGTTGTTATTATCTTGCGCTGGTGGATAACGTGGGGAGTTCCATATACTTGCATTTATTATAAAAAAAGGCCATGTCTGATTAGTGATTACCATAAATATAACTAAATATTTTCCTTAGTTCTCTCTTTTAGGTTGAAGTTGAACAGCGTTTCCTTTTCAAGTTGAAGTTTAAAAACGAAACCACGAATATTAATTAATGTTTGAAATGATGTTATAATGCTTAATCTGGACCAAGTCAACATATATTACTTTTTTATTTTTATTTTTACATAACATATATTTCTTTGTTATACTCATATACTGCGTTGTTCTTTACAATCACCTTCTCCCTTTCATTATACTATTTAAATTTCTCAATAGAAATTACTAGTTCTGTGGGGGATTTTGTCATATGGTAATTTTTCTCTTAATTAAAAAACCAGTTGGACTAGAACAAATTTTCCTAGAAAGAGAAATTTATTGACAAAAAGTGTTTAAAAGTCACAGCAAATTACTATAATTGTTTTGCACGTTAACGTTAGACAGATTTTTATATTTAAAAGTCGAAAAGTGTTTGTCGCGGCAAATTGCCAAAATGTATTCTATATATTATGTAATTGTTAATAATGATTAAACAGTCTTAATCCTAATATTTTAGACTTCAATTGGTTAGCATAAACAAAGTCGTGGCAATATCTAAGCACACATTTTGGGCTTGGCCTCAAACTAGTATCAGTTTTCAAGATGAGTTACATTTGTTCATGAGTTATGCTTTCTCATGATGATTTCCACGAGAAAATCACTGAAATGCATTTTAACGACTTTATTTCAAGTAAATTTTTTTCATTAATATTTATAACCTCTATTTTGTTTCTAAGTTAAACCTCCCTATTTACCAAATTCATAAATAAACTAGAATGGTAAGTTAGACGCGTGCTAGTGCTAGCTATCATTAGAAGGACGAGTTATTCTTATAATTAAAGTTTTAATTATTATTTTGATTTTTGTTAAATCCCACAGCCCATCTGTAATAATAATAAGAAGAAATTGATTGAATGGAAGAATTCACTTTTAATGTAATTTCAGTATTAAAATTTTACACCCAAATCATACGATATAATGGCTATTATATTATTATTTAACGAGGTTGGTATATTATTAAATTATTAATTCAATCAAGTTTATTAAATATAATCTGTATGAGCCAATAAAATTAAACTATAAAGAGAAACTCGAACCTTATTTTACGTCTATTTTTATTAATAACAGCCGAACTTATGAATCAATTGCAATCATCTTGATTTCAAATCTTAGTATGCTTCCAATAGAAGATTATATTTTAACTCCCTATATGGGAATACTTGTCTTAGTTCATCATATCCATTACAAGGCGGGGGACTTTATACTGTAGAAGAGTTACAATAATGTGTTTCAGGATCTACATTTTGTCCAATGAGTATACATCAATTAAAGTATGTAATAATCTCAAATGTATTTGAAGAATTAAAAAAGTGATATTATAGCTATTAATGATTTCTTCTCGCTGATCTAATTTCCCAGGCGTAAACTACTGTTTTTCTCTAAATTTGTTTATGGCTGTTGATCTATTTGACAAATGAACTGATTTTTCTATTTTGGTAGTGTGGACTAAAACTAAGAAATGGCTGCAATGGCGATGGTTGGTTGGTAGATTACTAATTAAAGACTGGTGCAGATGGTGTATCGTTGACACTTAGGTGATCATGGTGACATTTTATGTAGGGGTAAAGTTGCATGCACTTTGCTGAGGATGTGAAGGAAAGTTTTGTGCTGATTGGTTGGCCAAGTAGCACCTTAGCAGGATCTTGGGTTAATTCAAGGCCAGCCCATCTTGGAGTGTTGGATTTTTCTTGTTCTTCTTGCTTATGTAGTTAGTTGAATGTCCTAGAAATTTCCACTGTGTTTCATATTGATTTGAAGCATAGTTGGCATGTGTAATGCAGGACATATAACATGTCATATTTTCTCATTTATATATTTTTTATCCTCAAACATTTGACTGTAAAAAGAAAAAACTCTTACTATAAAAAGGTATGTGTTTAAGGTAGTGCAGAAAAAATAAGATTAAAAAAAATGATTATATTTGTTCCGATATATAAGACTCAAATGTTTATTTCATTATGATTAAGAAAAGTAATTAATTTAATTAATAGTAATAAATTTATCTTGTTTTTATATTTTTTTTCTTCTCAAAACTATCTTTCAACAATTTTTCTCTTTTAATTAATACTCACATCTTTCTTAATCAATTAAAGTACGTATCATATACTACTTCTCTCATAATTAATATTGTTTATTCTTCTAACCTATTAAAATGTATATCTTTTAAAGAGTCTATAATTAATGTATTCCATCAAATTAAGAAAACATGTTTTAATTAGGAATATTTTAAGAGTTAATCATCTATACACTGCCAATGTAAAGTTTTTTTTACACAATCAGAGCCGTTAATAGTGTCTTTTCATCTGCTCATTTAATTAAATTAAAATGAAAAAAGGCACTATTAACAGCTCTGATTGACTGTCAGTGTAAAAAACTTTACACTAGTAGTGTATACATATTTTAGTTTAAAAATATTTAATACATTAAACATTATAAATTGAGTCTTAATTAAGTCTTATAAATAGTAAAAAATAATAAGCGTGATAAGTATTCTATACCATAAAATTGGCGTGAAAAGGTTTGACTGTTAAGGTATAGAATTATTTAAATTTTATAAATTAAATTAAGCGATAAAATTTTTGAATTTAGCGGTAGAAATGTCTTAGAATGATAACTTAGTTTGAATCATGGAATTAGAATTGATTTAAAATGATAACTTTTATGTTTTAGATTGGATAAAAGTTAAACTATAATGTTTTCACATCTATAATTAAGAATAATTATAAGTTAGTTATCTTAAATTGTGTAAAAAAAATTATCAAACGGTGAGGAAGAGGAAGATTATAACAATTGGACAAGTCACTACCTTAATATAGTTTAGATACCACATGTCGAAAAGATTAAACAATTGTTATCATGCAACTGTTATCTAGTCATTCATGCATGATATATATGTATAGGGTAAAAATTTAAAATATTTTTCGAGCATTGATTGAAAAACATAAATTCTCTCATGGGTTTACATATATACCTTGTACATATATACAAATACAACAACTACATTATTAAAGTATGATCATTACAGTTCTAACCACAAGAAAAAGAAAAGATAAACTTGTGAAAAGAATTAACATATATATTCACAATATTGATTTACAAAAATACAACACAAACAATTTAATCAACATTTAATCCAATTCTACATATCAACTTTCAACTTATAAACCATATCATCATTCCAACATCTCAATAACTTACAATACCACAACAATATCATCATAACAACTTTAAACAACTAATGTGTCATCACACATATCAACTACAAATATTTCCTAACACAGAAGTGAACAATTTAAGTGACTAGATCCTATCAAATCATAACATCTGACTTATCACAACTAGGTCAAGTATAGACAATGTTAGGCCTCAAAAGGTACAAGGTATAAAACTTAAATTTGATTTCTCATGTTTCAGCATTCAAACTAGGAAGCCTAGCACTTTTGTCACTGTAGAGAAACTTGGGTATAAGTCTACCACAACATTAGCTTACAATACTAAACCTCTTGTAAAATTAGCTCATTGACTACCCCTGAAATGCCACGCCCTTCTAGTACTTAGGGAACTAAATCCTCGACCTTGTACCTTACTTGGTTGGTCACTTTATATATGTATGTCTTGACTTTGTCACCTAAAAGAGACAACTTAAAATAACTATTCATTCATAAACCAACTTGTTTACTAAAGGGAACTTGGGCTCTCGAAGCACCACCACTTATACCTACACGAAGGGATATTTCAATTGCTAAAACAACTTTTACTCTCCCCTAATTTTTACGTATTTCAATAAAGACATGCATCTACGCCACATGCTTAAAAACTTAACAACTTGATTAATTATAGCATCATACAACTTTACAACTTAATTATTTATGAACTCACAACTTAACAACATAAACATTATTATATAATATATCAACTTAAAACATAATGAGTTATCATCTTAAGCATCATTCTTCAACTATTAGACAACTTAGAATATCACATAGAAATCACATAAGTAACGCCTGATGCCATCTCTTAGACACTTAGAGCCATCGAGACAGGGGGTTTCCTGTCTCGCCCACCCTTGACGCCAAACCATTCGTGCCTAGCATGTCTAAGGTAGAGAACCTCCTAATATCTCATGTCTGGCATGGAAAAACCCATGTTCGACCTCAAATTAGGCAGAACGCCTCTACCTAATTCATGCCTAAATTCACTCCATTGGCGCATGATGTCAATTCAGATAGAGACGATTCTCTTTCTTCATGTTTGACATCAATCAAGCCCACACCTAACATGACCAAGTCAATGGCAATTTGTTGAGTGCCTTTTATACATGATTTGCACTTAACTTTTGGTACTCTTTTTGGTAATTGTAGATATTATATATGTTATTTTACCCCCCTTAATTTAAAGAATCAAGTTATACTAAAAGAGTAGAGGAGTAGTAGCAAAATCTTAAAGAATTTCCTCTTTTTTTGCAGGTTTTTTAGGAAGGTAGAGATCCACAACCATAGCTGTGGATCTGGAGCTCGAACTGTGGAAATCTGGGAAGGAATTAGAAATCCAAAAAGTTGAAGCTATAGATGTGGATCTGCAGCTATAGTTGTGGAAATCTGAAATGCAAATTTGAAGCTCCAGAGAGTTGAAGCTAAAGCTGTGGACTCACAGCTAAAGCCATAGAGCACCTAGGACCCAGCAAAAACTCCAGAGATACACAACCATAGTTGTGGCTTCACCGTTGCAGCGCTGGAGGTTCCTTAAGCTTGAAGGAGTTGCCACAGCTATAGCTGTGAAACCACAGCTG